ACTCCTAACCTCTCTGAGGTTTTTCTGTTCTGCAAAATAGGGATGACAACAACAGTTTTGTTTACTGGATGATTGTGATGTTGATATGAGACCCAATTTGTAAAGCATTAACACAAACACGGCACAGAGTAAAACTCTCAATCTATATTAGACATTATTATTATTGTGTTTCATGCATACCCATTTTGTCTTTACTTCACAAGCGTGTAATTCATTAAAGACAGAATCACAGTAGCACATGTTATTTGTGTTCCCTACAGTGTTGGGCTCACAATATGTTTTTAGAAAATGAGTACTGAGGGGTAAAGTTCTGTAACGGTGGAGAAAGGAGAACAAGGCATAATAGCAATAGAATAGAAATCTCTTCGCTCCTGTTGCATAAAGAGCAGTTGTAACAATGCTTACCATTATTAAGCATTCACCTCTTGCTTCTTGCCAGGACTTCACACAAGTTATTTCTAATCGCTATTCTGCCAGATATGTATTATTATCCCTGTTTTACAGAAATAAAAATTGAAGTTCAGGGAAGGTAAGAAATAATACACATGACTGAAGTGAAAAAATGGAATTCAAACCCAGGTCCATCAGCTGCCAACATCCAGTTCTACCTACATTTAGCCTTTCCACCTACACCCTGCTGTCCAATCAGACAGACGCTCCTCCTTCAAACAGCCAACATAGCTATCTCCTGCTGGCCAATGATAAGAAATTAGATGGGATTGCCAGAGAAGCCTTTGATGCTGAGTCACACAGAGCAAGACATATCACAGGAAGTGGCAAAAGCTGAAAGTTGAGAGTCAGTCTTCAAAAATGCACAGTATGAAAAGAAATGCAGATCATAGTCATTCTGGGCTCACAGCTTCGCAACTACCATCACCCAGGTTCTATTTGAAGCCAAACAATGGTGGCCTAAAGGGGCTGAATAATTAAGACATTGAATATAGGTATTAAATAACAACAATATGATACTTTAGGACTCAGAAATGACAGCCATGCCTTACACTTGCAAAGCTCCTCTATCCCCCTAGAATGTTCCCTCGCTTTAAGACAGGGGAATTCACATTGCCAAGGTTGGTACATGGTCTGAGGAGAAAGACAGGATTAGGAGAGGTAGCCAGGACCAGCCGTAAACTCCTAATTGGAAGTTTCAGTACAGGTTGTAGCTTGGACTAGAGCCAGCCAAGAAATATGTGGTTCACGTGTTGGGGTCCATATTGTCCAGAAGGACGTGGTATTATGAATGTCTTTGTCTGATTGGAAATATCTAGTCTCTCCAAACAACCATTTCCAGATCTCAATATTGTCTGCCTTCCAGAAATGTTTCATCCTAGACTTGAGTTATTCCCATTGTTTCTCCAAATGCCAAGGAGAAATGCTTGGGATGATAAAATAGAAAGCACAGAATACATTTGCCTTAGGTGCACATTCTTAGAGTACTTCACTGCAAAGCAGTCCAGATCTCTGCTAGCTAATAAGAGAGTTGAGGCAAGAACCACATCTAATAATTCAAAACTAAAATTAGACATTCACTTGAAAAATCCAGGTAACTGAAACAAAAACGAGGGAAGCTTTGTTTATTTAAATTATGAGATAATTGCCGCAATTCTCCAATTCCCCTCACTAGAGTAGACTTGGCTTGAGTGTATCAGTATCCATGGTGACTCATCTAATAAGTAAACTGCATTAGCTCTGCTACCAGCAGAAAGGAAGGGGAAAGGTCTTGAAATATATCTGTTATGGCTTCCTTCCAGAGCAAGGGATTTCATTATATCCTGAAGACATGAGACAGTTCAAAGAGATTTGAAATATAGAATGAGAAGGCGGAGGAGGAGAAGTTTGGGATTATACACTTGCTTTTTAGTTTTGATTTTATACATGAGAATCAGACGCTACAGACCGGGACTCTAGGGGGAGACTTTATTCTTCTGGTCCAGGGTTTTGTTTTGGTTCATTCTATGGTTGACATCTTTCCAAAAAGTTCCCCCGACATGGGTAGGCCTTCATGTTTAATCCCATGTACATAATTTCAAAGAAGTATGACAGAAAATCCTTTAAAAAGCACACATACACGATTTTCTAGCCCATGGCTGAAATGAAACTTGATGGAAAAAAATGTGTGATGGTGCCTATTTACTAAAATCCAGAAATGCAGAATGATAATAGGAATCATCCTGAAAGAGGCACTGCAATATTCCTGTAACAACAGAATAATAACTTGCTTTGCATCTGTCTACTTTTAAAATCATTTTAAAATTACAAGCATGTAAGCTACCCTAATTATTACTGTAAATAATTAATCATTTCCTTTCCAATCGCTTATTAATTAGCTGCCATAACATTGTTGTGAGTTAGGTGGAAGACAAGGATTCAATATTCAGTTATTAACACCTAATTAAAATATTCATTGTTTTCCATATGTTGTTTATAGCTTTGCTTCCTCACACTTGAAGACAGAATTTCTCTGAGAACAATGTCATCTATTTGCTTAGCTACATCGCCATCTGTTGTTGAGAAGTAGAAAATGTCCTTTCCTGCTTTTTCACATAAACAATAGCTTAATCCTTACCTCGGTTTTCATTTGGAATTGAAAAAGATTGATCCACAATATCCTCCTCCTAAAAGATTTTTCTTGACTTTATTTGTTCTGCTGCTGACTACATAAAATATTCTGCTGACTAAGGCCAATGGCATCATTTAAGCAGTAAATTAAGTGAGCCTATTAATGAAACTACAGTGAAAAATTCAAATTATTCCAACGTAGTTAAAGTATAAGAGAGGGGAGTTAGCTATCAAGTTTGGTTTACAAAAGGTCATCATCGAGGGAAATTTAAGATTTAATAATCCATTAGCCCAGGCAATGTGGCGAAAGCCTGGTCTCTACTAAAAATACAAAAAAAAAATTAGCCAGGCATGGTGATGCATGCCTGTAGTCTCAGCTACTCAGGAGGCTGAGGTGGGAGAGTCACCTCAGCCCCAAAGTCGAGGCTTCAGTGAGCCATGATCATGCCATTGCACTCCATCCTGGGTAGCAGGAGTGAGACCCACCCCGCCCCATCTCAAAAACAAACAAATAAAAGATTGAATACTCCAAATCATAAAGATATGTTTTATACTAACTCATTTTTATAATAAAAGCTCATGTTTATTGAGAAACTAATGAATCCTAAGCGCTGTTTATTCTTGCAACAATCCAGTAATGGAGACAGTACTGTGGTTGTGCCCACTTTACAAATAGTGAAACACAATCACCAAGAAGTCAAGTCAATTGCTAATTCAGTGGGAGGCTCAATAATTTGTGGGGCTTAGTGCAAAATGAAAATGTGGGACCTTTTGTTCCAAAAGTAGGGAAATGCCATTAAAGGTACTAAAACGCCGGGCACGGTGGCTCACGCCTGTAATCCCAGCACTTTGGGAGGCTGAGGCAGGTGGACCACAAGGTCAAGAGATCGAGACCATCCTGGTCAACATGGTGAAACCCCGTCTCTACAAAAAACACAAAAATTAGCTGGGCATGGTGGCGCACGCCTGTAGTCCCAGCTACTCGGGAGGCTAAGGCAGGAGAATTGCTTGAACCCAGGAGGTGGAGGTTGCGGTGAGCCGAGATCATGCCATTGCACTCCAGCCTGGGTAACAAGAGCGAAACTCCATCTCAAAAAAGAAAAAAAAAGAAAAGGTACTAAAACATAAAGCTTTTTCCTTTCTTCCTCAGTCTCTCTCTCAACTTCTTACGATTTTTTTATTTGCTATTTAATGTTATTTTAAGTAAATAAAAAATTCAATTCTGTCCTTGTATGAATTTTGCATTCATTTTTATATTGTGCAATATGTTTTCAATGCAAATACAAAAGCATGTAACTCACATGCAGAATAATCAAAATTTCATAATTCATTATTTTGTAGCTCATGTGTATATTTCACTCTCACCAGAATGGTAGAAATGCTTCACAAAACTAAGTCAGCTGTTTTCACCTCACTTGATATGTGTACATTCTACCAACACTGCTCATCTTTGGCTTACTGATGAGTAAGGAATTACAATTCTGTTTCCTTGTATGTCATCATTTTCAGTAAAAGTAGTTGGCCAACACAGAGACGTAACATAAGAGAGCATATGATAGACTGTCCTGCCATTCATGTTTCTTGGAATGCCCTGGCCTTCTTTCTGCATTCAAAGCAAGTTCTGGCTCAAGCAAAAAGTCAGTGGTAGATATGCAGATATGCCATGCTCCCCTTTCACTCTTTCAGCTTCACTGAACTCCCACATATTGTGGGTCCACCAGAATTCTGTGTTCACAAGGTGTTCTGTACTCTGTAAGGAAATAAGGTAGCAAAGGAAAGCAGACACCCCATTATTCTTATTGATTAACATATTGTGCTTATCTTCTTTACTCATGGGCAAGCTCCAATGTCCCGTCAGAATTCACTTGCAAAGCATAAGTTCAAACATAAAATCATCAATAATTTCAAGACAGTGACAACAGAGCATTAAAGTAAGTGTGAGGTTCTCTGAGCCTGGGGCCCTGTGAGACCATATTCATTGAGCAGGCCCCGAGATGATGAACACAGGCAGAATGACAGATCTGTGTCCAGAGTTCACACTCCTAACCACTGTGCTCTGCTGCCCCTTAGACTGTGCCCAGGGGCACCTTCAAAAGCTTCTGCTTTATGTGTCCATTATTCATAGACTTAAAGAAAGATGATGGTGAATGGAGGGCCTTAGAATTCCAGTTTTCTCATTTTATAGACAAAAGACAAGAAATCCAAAGAACCAGGATGACAGCCCTGGCGTCCTGAATCTCGGCCTCCTCAGATTGTCAAAATGAATGTAGTATCTCCTTCCCGTTTCCATCCCATCCACAACCCACCCTTCCTTTGGTGCCCCTGTTCAGTAATCCTACTCAGCCCCAATGGTTCTGGGAAGTGGACTCTCACCCTCTGCACTCAGGCCCAGAGGAGGACACAGAATGCAAGCAGGCTTAACAAAACCTTATTCTCCGCAGGAACCTGGCTACAGCTGTGAGGAAAGAGACACCCTTTTCCTCTGGGATGATGAGACATGACATCACAGAGCACTGAACTTGTCACCAGGTAAGAGAGGGACTGCCTGAGAATGAGGCCAATATGGAATAAAGCAGAGCTGAAATACACAGACAAAAACAAACCCCTCAAGGAGTACAGATTTTGAGCATCTCAGTTGAGTCCTAAGTTACATACATGAGTTAATATACTCCCCCTTTGTTTTTTAATCAAATTTGAATCAGGTTTCTGTTACTTGACTGTTTTCAGCTCACTATCTTGATATGTGCACATTCTACCAACACTGCTCACCTTTGGCTTATTGATGAGTAAGAAAATTACAATTCTCTTTCCTTCTGTGTCATCACTTTCGGTACAAGTAGTTGGCCAACACAGAGAAGTAACATAAGAGAGCATGTGGTAGGCTTTCCTATCATTCATGTTTCTTGGAATGCCTTGGCCTTCTTTCTGCATTCAAAGCAAGTTTCTGTTTCTGTTTCTAAAATCAAGTTTCTGTTACTTGAAACAAAGAGTCCTGATTGATACAAGTTTGGAAATCATTCTGTAAACATGATCATTAAAACCATGGTGAGAATGCAAATAGATCCAAAGATTAAGCTATAGGGAATGTCATTTAAGGAGAGAGCAAAGGAAGAAAAGTAAGCAAAGAAAACTGAGGGAGTGATCGGGGGTTCCAGGAGACACGGCACAGGAGACAGTGTCTAACAGGTAAGAGCAGAAAAGAGGGGTGTGGATGTGGGCAAGGCCTGGTATACAGAAAGTTCAAGCAAAGTGATGGTTGGAAAGAGTCTACTGACCTGGAAATTAAGAGGTCAGTGGAGACTCGCACCAGGACTTTGTTGGGAACAAAGCCAAGGGGCTGTGAGTTAAACAACGAGTGGAAAAAGTCTTGTGTTTAACACTGCTGAAAGAAATAATAAATGACACAAACAAATGGTAACACATCCTATGCTCATGGATGGGATATTGTGAAAATGACCATACTGCCAAAAGCAATCTACAAATTCAATGCAATCTCCATCAAAATACCATCATCATTCTTCATGAATTTAGGGAAAAAAAATTCTAAAATTCATCTGGAACCAAAAAAGGAGCCCACATAGCCAAAGAAAAAAGAACAAATCTGGAGGCATCACACTACCTGATTTCAAACTGTACTATCATGCTATAGTCAACACAACGGCATGGTATTAGTATAAAAATAAGCACATAAACCAATGGAACAGAATAGAGAACCCAGAAATGAACCCAAATACTTACAGCCAACTCATCTTCAACAAAGCAAACAAAAAACAAAAGTAAGGAAAGGACACCTGTTTCAACAAATGGTGCTGGGATAATTGGCTAGCCATAAGTAGGAGAATGAAACCAGATCTTCTTCTCTCACTGTATATAAAAATCAACTTAAGATGGATTAAGAACTTAAATCTAAGACCTGAAACTTTAAAAATTCTAGAAGACCAAATTGGAAAAACTCTTCTAGACATTGGCTTAGGCAAAGATTTCATGTCCAAGTACCCAAAGGCAGATTCAATAAAAACAAAGATAAATAGCTGGGACTTAATTAAATTAAAGAGCTTTTGCACAGCAAAAGGAACAGTCAGCAGAGTAAACAGACAACCCACAGAGTGGGAAAAAAATCTTCACAATTTGTGCATCTGACAAAAGACTAATATTCCAAAATCTACAACGAACTCAAATGAATCAGTAAGAATAAAAACAAACAATATCATCAAAAAGTAGGGTAAGGACATGAATAGACAATTCTCAAAAGAAGATATACAAATGGCCAACAAACATATGAAAAAATGCTCAACATCACTGATGATCAGGGAAATGCAAATCAAAACCACAATGCAATACCACTTTATTCCTGAAAGAATGGCCATAATCAAAAAATCAAAAAACAGTAGATGTTGAGGTAGTTGTGGTGATCAGGGAACAATTCTATACTGCTGGTGGGAATGTAAACTAGTAAAGCCACTATGGAAAACAATGTGGAGATTCCTTAAAGAACTAAAAGTAGAACTACCATTCGATCCAGCAATCCCATTACTGGGTATCTACCCAGAGGAATAAAGGCATTATACAAAAAAAGGTACTTGCACACGCATGTTTATAGCAGCAAAATTAGCAATCACAAGATTGTGGAACCAACCCAATTGCCCAGAAATCAATAAGTAGATAAGTAAACTGTGGATATATATATGTATGTGTGTGTGTGTGTGTGTGTGGTGTATATATGTGTGTGTGTGGTGTATATATGTGTGTGTGTGTGTGTGTGTGGTGTATATATGTGTGTGTGTGTGTGTGGTGTATATATGTATATGTGTGTGTGTGTGTGTGGTGTATATATGTATATGTGTGTGTGTGTGTGTGTGTGTATACATATGATGCAATACTAGTCAGCCATAAAAAGGAATGAATTAACGGCATTAGCAGCAACCTGGATGAGATTGGAGACTATTATTCTAAGTGAAGTAACTCACACAATGAAAACCAAACATTATATGTTCTCTCTGATAAGTGGGAGCTAAGCTATGAGGATGTAAAGGCATAACAATAATACAATGGATTTGGGAGACTGGGAGGAAGGATGAGAGGGGACGAGGAATAAAAGACTACAAATAGGGTACAGTGCATACTGCTCAGGTGATGAGTGCACCAGATCTCACAAATCAACACTAAAGAGCTTACTCATTGTAACCAAACACCACCTGTACCCCAATAACATATGGAAAAAAATTTTAAGTCTTGTTTAAAATGGTAGGTTGGGTATACATACTGATTGCTGCTTCCTACTGAGACACAGCTGAAGTGTGAGGAAAATAATTTAAAATATCTATTTAACCTACAAGGACAATGAGAATGGAAGAAAAGACCGCTATGGACAAAAATTGAACAGCAGGTGAAAAATGTCAACTAATTTTTGGAAGTGGGGAAGAAAAGATGGAGAATTGGTATCTGGCATTGCAGAGGGGAGAATGCAGAGTCACCTCGGAGCCAGTGGGGGTAGTGGCAGAGAGTGATTCATTGCTTAGAACTCTGACGACTTCAGGGCTAAGGCACGGGTAGCTTGGAGAGCAGGAGTAAGGCGCGGGCAGAGCTGAAAACAGGGAGACAGTCTGAAAGCCCCTGTTAGAGCCACCGGACCCATCCCTGATCATTCCCATCCTTTACAGTTGCATCACCAACTCCCTGATTCTCATAAGCAACCAGAAAATTATTCCCAGGAGACTCCGAAAGGGCCAGACTCCTGATTCTGGAATGTGGTAGAGTCAAGGCCATGAATGAGGTTCTGTGCCCAAACTGAAGGATTGATAAAGGTCCACATACTCATAGTCAGAGCCCTATCCTGTCTCTCCTCTTTGACCAGAGCACCAGGAGCCTGGTGTATGCTCCCCACGCAAGACAATGAAAGAGCTTCTCTGCAGAAACGATCCCCCTGTGGTTTGGTACAGTGGCGATTTAGCTAGGTGGGAACTGCGTTTAGCAGAATCCCCTTCCCTGGGTGGCTCTGCTTGGGATGACAAGAAGATCTGGGTACAGTTTGGAAAGCAGGAAAGGGAAGCAGCCTCCACTGTGTTCTGAATGTGAGTGTAGGGTTCTAGGTGCCACTGCAGTGCCCAAACATTGTCACTAGTGGCTAGTTCACTCTGGTGTTATAGAGGGGCTTCCAGACCCACAGCTCTGCGGCTCCCACAGACTTCCTCACCTCCTTGCCTTCCAGGTCAGGTATGGCTCAGCTCTGCTGGGAAATGCTCCGGCTTCCCTGGCAGGTCACCTGCATCATTGAGGTGGAGATGGTCGTGGCAAGAACACCTCTAACTACTAACTAGGTGTTTGAGTACCCAAAAACTAAGTGCTTAAACAGCAGGAATGTATTCTGACACCTCTGGAGGCCAGAAGTCTGAATCAAGGTGTCAGCAAGCCATGCTCCACAGAAACCTGTAGGAGATTTCTTCCCCACTTCTTCCCAGTTTCTGGTGCCTTTTCTGTTTTTTTCATTTCCTGGCATGCAGCTGCATGACTATGGTTGAATTTGAGGATTTGCTTTAATATTAACTTCACTTTATTTTTCAGGTCTTGATTCCTCACCTACAAAATAAGAAAATCTTGTTAGCCTAGAAAAGGATTAACACTGCCGGGCGTGGTGGCTCATGCCTGTAATCCCAGCACTTTGGGAGGCCAAGGCAGGTGGATCACGAGGGAAAGAAAGAAAGAAAAGAGAGAGAGAGAGGAGAAAGAAAAGAAAAGAAAGAAAGAAAGAAAGAAAGAAAGAAAGAAAGAAAGAAAGAAAGAAAGAAAGAAAGAAAAGAAAAGAAAGAATTGAAAAAGGAAAGGAAAGGAAAAAGTTAAGTTATAGTGTTCCACAAGAGGGCCTGGTCTGACATGTGGGATCTCAGAGACCAGAAAGGCTGGGCACAGGGGGTGACGAGGGGCTGTGGTGTGAAACAGGTATGGGTCAGAGTGGGCACCCACTTGTAGCCCACGATAAAGAAATTGCACTCATCTCTGAGACCTATGGAGGGGCTTCCAAGCATGAGACATGTCATAGGTTACTTTGAGAAGAGTGAATGTTCAAGTACGTTTTTTACTAGCTGAGTTAGCAACTGAGTGTGTCTCTGTAGCAATACTTTATTTTTCAATTTTCATTTAGGGCATACACTCATTTCATATAGATCACGATATGCTTTGGATTTGTGTCCCCACCCAAACCGCATGTCAAATTATAATCCCCAGTGTTGGAGCTGGGGCCCGGTGGGAGGTGATTAGACCATGGGGGCAGATTTCCCCCTTTGATGCTGCTCCCCTGGTACAGTCCTCATGAAATCTGGTTGTTTAAAAGTGTGCAGCACCTCCCCACTCTCTCCCTTCCTCTTGCTCTGGCCGTGTGAAGATGTGCCTGCCTCCTCTCACCTTCTGCCATGATGGTTAAGTTTCCTGAAGCATCCCCAGCCATGCTTCCTCTACAGCCTGCGCAACTTTGAGCCAATCAAACCTCCTTTATTTATAAATTACCCAGTTTCAAGTATTTCTTTATAGCAGTG